AGTTCTTTAGAAGTAAACTTGGGTCAAATGGAAGCTGATGACACCAGCAACCCGAATTACATTAAATTGCAAACCTAAAATACACTTAAACATGAGGTGAGCATTAAAATACATAAAAATACCATAAATACTAACATTCATGCTTTACATTTCTTCTGCTTTCCTAAGTTCGTCTGCCAGACACCAAGCCTACAGCGTTACGCTTTCCATTGGCAACCAGTCAGATACGGCGGAACACCCACCATTCTAACTGGAAGTATTGCACATTAACACACACTCTCATTTTATATTTCACCCTTACTGCGAATTTACACGGTTACTTTTAATACAATAGATTTTGTTGGTTTCTGATACTTTTTCTTATGACCCCCGCATATGTGTGTTCGTTGTTATGCTTGCCATCTATGTTCGTTATTTCCGCAGACTATAAACGACGCAGGTGCGTACATATCCAAATATGGGTCAAACTGAACGTCGTTCGCCGTTACAAGGCAGCTGATGCTCCGACAACATTCAAATATCAAATGTGGCCACTCGCAGCCTATTCTATAGCTGTACGAAATCAACATCCACCAGCGCCCATAGTGGACAGGATATTTTTGACCCCAAAACTATTTACCAAATGTGCTAACCTTCATAACAGCTTGGCTTGTTCTATCCATTGTGTTATTACTGTACCCTTAAATATACGTTTTGTTGTTTGAATTAACCTACCGGTTCGCGAACGCTTAACTATGCAGAGGCCCAAGGCAAATTAAACGTGCAGCCGACATAGAGGAGTTTACTTTGGGTTTCTCCCGTATCCGAAGGACGTTGACAGCGACCAACAGGTGCTTTGATCCAGCTTTTGTATTTCATCCTATTCTATTATATAAACAAGGCGTTCTTCAAGGGTATAACGAAGCCTTCCAAAGCTACGATGAACCGCTTAGCATTCTCAAGGCCTATAGAATGTGGACGTTTGGTTTAGATTCCGTGTCAAGACCCTTATAAAGGATTTTGGTAGACAAGGCGTAAGCGCAGCTCCTATCACAGCGAAAGTCAATTCTGCAGAACTGACATGCCAAGGTTTTTTTCTGACCAGGTTACGAGCCACATTGAAGAGCGAAAGGGTGGCAACTACCAGCGGAAATAAAAAAGCAAGGAAGCGGCGCTGAAAAAAATTTTAAAATGGGAGGTGGATGCAGAATTCAAGTCAAGAGACAGTTTCTTAGGCCGAGGGCAGTCATAATGATGGTCTGATTAATATAAAGATGCGAATTTGAGGGCTGCAACCATCATTATTTGCTGTTGTCTAGAAATCGATTACATTAACTGTGTAAGTCTCTTCAGCAAGCTAGATAACCTCAGATTAATAGCGTTTAGGCAGAAGTCACACACTTAAATTGATAGGCATCTGGATGACTGATGAAATAAGGAGCAGTGAAGTCAGTACTGGAAAGTACCAATTACTCCATTATGACAGACTTCAACGTGGAAGCATAGGAAAAGACGATATATCTGAGGGAATTTCCTCAAACCTCTTCGTGAATGATAAGAATCAGGTGACTGTAAACTCTTGATTTTATGATCTTGATATTGTCCTCCCAGTTCGAATGAAAATTCATTTGCGGAACTACAGATGATGTGCTAACTCATGAAATGTCAACCAAAATTTCGAAATGCGTTCTCCTTTCGAAAAGATAAATTAAGTAGTGCTGTAAAACTAATCATTATGCAGCATAAATCTATAATGATCCAGTTACCTCAGGGTGTCTGCTTTCGAAAGAACTTATTTTTGGCTGTATGCAAGATCTGTACTCTGCAAAAAATGATTACTTAAGTAGCATGTAATTTTCTAATTGATTTTTGATGTCCTTGAATATTCGATTATATTTCATGGAAAACATGCATAAAAATATTCATTCTTTTACTTATTCGGTAGAACATCACGTCTTCTTTTAATTTCATACTCAAAAGAAAGTATAATTCGGTTTTAAAAAACTTTTCTAATTCCCGAATAATTTTGAACCCGACCCGCTCTTAGACTTGCATTCAGGAATTCTAAACTACGAGGTGTATATTTTCCGTGTACAGAAAACCATGCATTTTTCTACGGTGTTAAGAGGAGACCATATGAGGTTCATAAAATTAAGCAGTGGATTTGGGCAATATTGCTAACTTTACAAGCCACATTCGTAAATGCAGGTACATGACGTTTCATGAACGGCCATTTAACGGTATTAAAAAATCTCACAATAAGAAAATTTTTTAAAACCGAATTATACTCTTCTTTTGAGTATGAAATTGGAAGAGGACGTGATTTTCTATCGAATAAGTAAAATGATGAATATATGTATGCATGTTTTCCATGAAATATAATTGAATTTTTAAGGGCATCGAAAATCAATGAGAAAATTGCATACTACTTAAGTAGTCAGTCTTGCAGAGTATAGATCTTGCATGCAGCCAAAAATAAGTTCTTTCGAAAGCCGACACCCTGAGGTAACTGTATCATTATAGATTTATGCTGCATCCTGATTAGTTTTACAACACTGCTTCATTTAGCTTTTCGAAACGAGAACGCATTTCGAAATTTTGGTTGACATTTCATGAGTTAGCATACCTACTGTAGTACGTTCATTAAAACTCGTATGCCAACTAGATAATGCACCACCATCATTGTCCTTAATCCTTGCATAATATTCAGGAAGCATTCCATAGTAAACGCCAAAACACCATTATTCGATCAAATTCGAGGCCTGTTTTACGTGCATTGGTAGAGTTCGGAACGAAGACGACTGAACGTCAACGATCCACCTGCTTTGGTCTTGTTTTCGGTAAAGAAGAGGGAATCATGCGGAGAATAAACTCATAGCACCACTTGGTTTTAGGGATCATATCGCACTCGCCTGCGTGTGATCTCTCGTGTTCTCTCCACAGACACAAATCTTGGAGCAAAACGGATCCTGAAAGGCCATTTAAACATATAGCGACGTGAAGCTTCAGGGTAAACCTAGTCAAATGACAACACCGATTCCGGAGATTGCTGTCAGCTTCTTCAGTTTGTCATATGGTGTCTAAATGATGTCCATTGTCCATGAAAATAATAAGAACTCAGTTGGTCGATGCGGCAATGAAAAATGCATGATGACAATACAGACGTTCTGGGAAAAGTACGCACATCTCCAAGAACCAACATCGCTTCCCAGATATAAGAAGGGGCTCAGTGGATGTAGTAAGCAAATACGAATTGCAGAACTTCTCTCGAGCGACGACTGACAGCGCAGAACGTTGCGTGCCACCAAGGAAATTTCGCGCACACATTCGCAGTAGATGAAAGCACAGGAACGAGATTGCAGGTTTCGAGGATAACATCGGAGACGTATCATCTCAAGAATCATAGAAAATACAACTACTATTCCATTTTATTCAAACGAGGTGTTCGACGAACTATCGCGAGGACTGGGTGAGAGTTACTAGTGTTCTTTCTCAAAACTCTTTTTTCTTTATATTAATGACAACCGTCAGTAATCTGATTGCAGTAGGATCATGTTTACAGAGGACGTCAAGCTCTACGAGGTCAGATGGACAGGATACCAAGAAAACCCTTCAGAAAATCTTCGCAGTCTGCAGACGTGGTCCTAGCGACGGCTTCTGATTTTCAGTACGTGAAAGTGTGAAGTCCCCATCCGTGTTCAACAAACTGCCATCCGAAAGTCAACATAAGGCATGTTATTCGAAGACCGCCCATGTTTCGATAGAGTACCCTCTGAAGTAGCTTGAATAAAAATAAATCTTGAAGAAGAAGATACGATCGCTGCGACAAGAGCTTTATTGGCCTGACGTTTCGGATTCCTGCCGAACCAATCATCAGAGGCAAATGCAGATACGGGTGGTTCATGCATAAGAAACTGCAGTGTTTATAGGATGCAGTAGCCATGCTATCGCATACCTATGAATATTCACGGTTCCCCCTTCATCCGGGATCGTTGCACATGGTGTGATGGCCGATATTCGCATCGTTATTTGCTGCAATTTCATCGTGTGCGTTGGATGTCGGTGTGGTGGTTGCTCGACCATCTGACGCACCGACGATGGCGTTGGGAAAAGCGTTTACCTGTGCGTTCCGCGCGTGACCATTTACTCCGCGTAGACGAAGTCTCAGCATCAAGTATCGAACAGGGAGATCATTGCACTTGTTAATGCACTGGGGGCCATTTACCAATGATTCAAGCAGCTTCCGGTTCACGCGGTTGTCACCTCTTGCGAGAATTTCGGCCTCGTCAAATTTGAATATGTGGTTAAATCTCGTTGAATGAGCCACAACTTGAGAACTAGCGTCATTTTTGCCTTCGCTGCAGCGTGTTAGGCAATTCGCGTTCGGAGCTGTCTTCCGGTTTCTCCAACGTAGTTGCTTTGTCCGCAACCTCACCAGACCCAAAAAACGACTGCAGACGTTTCTTTCGGTTTCATTAATTGATGCCTGATGATTGCCTGCGGTCTGTGTGCAACTCCAATCCCAAGTGATGCGAGAAGGCGGCCGACAGCTTCCGAAAGGTTGTTGGCATACGGAAGCGCTCGGCAAAATTTGGCGTCCGTGCAGTTAGGCCTTGTGTGGTGAGGTACCGGACTGATTTACCTTTGACAATTTAGTCCCATTTTCTTTGACCGGGTTGTTTGTTTGAATGTGACGAAAAACGACACACCTGTACAGCCCGCCTTGCTAGCGTGCTCCGCTGTCGTGCACTATTGTCAGGTTTCTTAACGTTCAAAATCTCTATATTATTCCCTGTTCAGTTTTACTTGATGCATTTAAGGCTAGGGACTCGTGAGATATAACTCGTTAGTTCGTGATAACATTACTATTTACGTCATCGGAGATCCCAACGTTAACGCAGACTTTATACCTTTCTATGTCATACTGAATAACATTAAACGTACTACTTGTTTATGAATTTCTATTCCATTTCCATTTACTTTCCTCACGAATTCTGATATTTTACCATCGCTGTCTTATTATGTCTCACTTCAACCAACAACTTGATGCCCCCGCCCAGTCCCTTCATGCCATCAATTTTAATTTGCCTGAATTCTGGCAACACGCTCCAAAACTTTATTTCCTCCGCATCGAATCAGTCTTTGATTCTGCTAAAGTTACCAAGGAGCTGGCGAAATACCACAAATGTGTGGAGGTTCTCCCCGCTAGTGTTATCTTTCAAGTTTGGTCCTTGCTAGCTAATCCTCCTGCTGATGCTCCCTATACCATGTTAAAGGCAGAAATTCTTCGACCTAATTCCGTGTCCGACCGACAGCCGTATCACCAGTTACTTAAGAAGGAGTCACTAGATGACCGGAAGCCTTCAGAGCTACGTCGAATGCGTTCTCTCCTTGTAGACATGCAGGTTGATGATAAATTCGTCAATGAGATGTTCCTAGAGCGTCTGCCCGCAGATGTCCAAACGATCCTGACGTCCGGCTCTCAATATTTTACGGTCTCACGGTTGGCTGAGATGGCGGATCGAATGATTGAGGTGAAGCGGTTCCAGTCACCTTCCGTTGCCCAGATCTCACCCTCATCGTCAGTGAATGAACATTTAAAGAAACAGGTGTCGGCCATGGCGGATGAGATGGCCTCCCTTACAATACAGTTCACCCACCTTACTTCCAGTCGCTCACGCAGCCGTCGTCGTTCTCGTTTGCGACCTCAGACTGCCGATGCTTGTTGTTATCACACTAATTTCGGCGTAAAGGCCCGTTGCTATTCCTCGTCCTGCTTTTTTAAGCCGAAGCAGGCAAACCAGCCAGCCAGAGAATAGATGCAACCGTTTTCTCTGGCTCTTCCGGCTCTGGTCGCACCTTCTATGTTTGCGACACTGCGACTCGCAGACGTTTCCTGGTGGACACTGAACCCAAATCAGCGTCGTTCCTCCAACTGCAGCTGATCGTCGTTTCCCTAGCCCTGGTCTTCGCCTCCAAACTGCCAACTGTTCCTCCATTCCCACATTTGGCAGTCTGTCCCTTACTCTGAACATTGGCCTTCGTCGCTCATTCACTTGGATCTTTGTCATTGCTGATGTCCCTCATGCAATCTTCGGCTCGGACCTTCTTGCCGAGTTCGATCTCCTTGTCGACTGCCGACGTGCCCGTCTCCTCGACAGCACAACCGGTCTGTTTGTTCGTGGACTGCCTCCCTTTATTGCCCCCATCAACTTATCTGTCTTGGATACGGATATTGCTAGCCCCTATCAGCAACTACTTCTTAGTCAACCCAACATAATTAACCCCCCAGTTTTTCAGTGGTGAGGTTCAGCATGATGTTGTGCACCACATCTGCACCTCAGGTCCTACCGTGTTTGCTCGACCGGGACGACTAGCACCGGAGCGTTTCCAGGCCGCGAAGGCGGAGTTTGAACACATGCTGCAACTGGGAATAATTCGACCGTCCGAGAGCCCTTGGGCGTGCCCACTGCACATGGTGCTCAAGGCAACATCAGGCGACTGACGACCCTGTGACGACTATCGAGCCCTCAACAGCGCTACGATTCTTGATCGATAGCCCGTGCCTCATCTTCAGAACATTGTTGCAGCTCTTTTCGGCAAAGCGGTTTTTAGATAGATAGATAGATAGATAGATAGATAAATTTTATTAAAGACCCGTTGGGGTCCCATCAAAGCAAGTTAAAATAAATTTACATGCGAGTTTTAGACGAGGTAGGCAGAATCTTTACAAAATGCAATTCATAGTTTCTGAATTAGTAGTCCATTGAGAAACATGATTAGTGTGGGGGAAAAAAACTCCAATACAAAAAGTTAAAAATGATTGGATTAATGTTACAGGAGAAAAAAAACTCAATAAAAATAATTACAGAAAAATGCGAGCAGGACTGGCCTGTAGGCGGCGGTATATAACGGATTGTTTTCAGTCATCGTCAGGTTAGCAATAAATCTCAGCCTTGAGGGGTACGTACGCGGGTCAGACAGGAATGGCCTGCATGTGGTATTGTATACAGGATTCACAATTGACATAATCTGAGCCGGATTGATACGCCGCATGAGACTCTTCGCGTCAAAGAGGCCAGGCGAGAGGAACCCAGATGAGATCGGCCACAGCACGCTTTGAGCTCAGCCGAGCAGTGGGGAAGGGAGGTACGACCAAACTACTAGTAGACGGTGAATACTGAGGGTTCCGCCGTGAGCGTTTTCTCGAAGATTGATCTGGTGCGTGTTTTTAATCAGATTCCAGTCGGCCCTGATGACATCCCCAAAACCGCTGTTACCACATCCTTCGGTCTCTTCGAGTTCATCCGCATGTCGTTCGGTCTTTGTAATGCCGTCCAAACGTTCCAGAGGTTCATCCACCATGTCTTACGTGGCCTACCCTTTGTGAACGCCTACATTGATGACCTCTTGGTGGCCAGCCGGCCTGAGGAAGAACACAAAGAGCATCTTGCCTTGATGTTTGACCTCCTTGACAAGTTTGGCGCTGTCATCAGCCCCTCCAAGAGCGTGTTGGGTGTGCCTTCGCTCGAGTTCCTCGGCCATCATGACGACTCTGAAGGTTTGCGTCCCCTCACCTCCAAGGTTGAAACAATTCGTAATTTCCCTTCACCAACTTCCAAGCGACAGTTGCAGCGATTCCTCGGCATGGTCAATTTTAACCGCCTGTTCCTACCGAACTGTGCTGGCCTCATGTTGCCATCCACCAACATACTTTCTGGTCCCACAGATCCCCTCGAGCTATCTGGTGAAGCACTGACTGCTTTTGAGATAATCAAAACTTCCCTTGAAGACGTCACTTTACTCACGCATTCTGCTCCCGAAGCTCAGCTGTCCCTTATGGTAGATTCTTCGACCGTAGCCGTAGGTGCAGTCCTTCAACGACACCTTGCTGGTTCGACTCAATCAATTGTCTTTTTCTCCAAAAAGCTCTTACCAGCTGAGATGCGATACAGTACCTTTGGCCGTGAACTACTTTCCATTTACCTGGCTGTGAAGCATTTCCTGTATTTCCTTGAAGGTTGGAAATTCACTGTTTTCACGGACCAAAAACCGTTGACTTTTGCCCTTCGGTCCCACTCTGACGAGTACAATCCGAGGGAAATCGCTCACCTGGACCACATCTCCCCATTTACCACCGACATCCGCCACATTGATGGCACGAAGAATGAAGTGGCTGATATGCTGTCCAGACCCTCACCGTCTTCCCTCCAACTCTCACACGGGATCGATCTTTGCGCCATGGCAGCTGAGCAACAGCGAGTCGGTTGTCCTGGCGACGAATCTGTTAGCGGTCTCCAACTCGAAGACGTCCCTCTGACCACCGGCTCTGATACCATACTTTGTGACGTCACAGCTCCCTTTCATCGCCCTTTCGTGCCCGCTTGATGCGTCGAGTTGTATTTCAAACTCTGTATGCGCTCTCCCACCCTGGGATCCGAGCCTCTCAAAAGCTCCTTGCGGAAACGTTTGTCTGGCCTGGCATGAGCAAGGATTTCAAAGCTCGGGCCCGGTCGAGTCTGAGCTGTCAGCGCAGCAAGGTGCAGCGTCACAACAAGTCCCCACCAGGCTCTTCCCCAGTCCCGACGCACGGTTCAGCCATGTGCACTTGCATGTCGTAGGCCTCTTGCCTCCATCCAATGGTTTCACCCACCTCCTTACCTGTGTCAATCAACATACCCGCTGGGTTTAAGCCATTCCTTTACCGAATGCGCAGGCTGAAACCATTGTGAAGACCTTCGTCAGTCGTTGGGTAGCAAATTTCGATGGCGCATCCAAGGTTACGACTGATCGTGTTGCGCATTGGGAGTCGGAACTCTTTCAAGCACTACTCAATTTCCTTGATTGCCCAAGCATTCAGACGACAGTCTACCACCCAGCTGTCAACAGTATGGTTGGGCGTTTCCATCGCCAGCTAAAGACTGTCCTGCGTGCCGTAGACTACCAAGGAAGCTGGTCGGACAACCTTCCTCTTGCAATCCTCGGCATCCGCACAGCTCTGAAGTCAGATCTGGGCTGTAGCGCAACTGAATTGCTTTTCGGCACTACCCTCCGACTGCCAGGCGAGATGATCATCCCAACCTCTCGTATGGCCGACGAGACTACTGACAACCTTGTGCACCGTTTGCGGCAATTTTTGCGCTCGCTTTCCCCGGTTCCACCTCGAACTCGAATAACTGAGTCTTATGTCGAAAAAGACTTGGACAACTGTGCTCATGCGTTCGTCCGGTGTAATCGTGTGCGCTATCCGCTGAAATCACCATACGAAGGACTGTTCCGCGTACTCGCTCTCAACGCCAAGACCTGCCGGATTCTTCGCGGTGACAAGGAGGACGTGGTCAGTGTCTATCGGGTCAGTATAATTCAGTATAATTCAGTATATATGAGGGATAGAGGCAGAGCCTTGGAAAACCCTATTTACAGATAGACGTAGAAAAAAACATGCAGATATTTACATAGCAGTTATGACAGTCATTGATATCATGTAAATGTTTGACCATCAAGCATAAGTTTATCTAGTCTTCTTTTGAAGGTCTCGACGTTTTCCGCTAAGACAACGGAGTTCGGCAGTTTGTTCCATCCCTCAACCAGCCGGTGAGAGAAGAATTTGGCCC